TCTACTTGCGTGCGCCTCGGACTATTCCACCGGACACTTTCTACCTCCGAGCAGCACAAGTACGGGTAACTATGCCTACCGAGGCTTAGGCATATGGGAAGAAATCACCTAGCATTTTCTTTCCTTTGTTGGGGATTGAACCAGAGACTTCATTGTTCTCCTAGACACTTTATTGACCACTAGGTCTCATATTTGGATACTTTTTTTGTGCCATTCTTGTGTCTTGGGGCGCAGTAACCCTGCTGAAAAATAAACTCTTATCGCATATTTGCGAGTGACAATGCAGTTAATGTGATGGAGATGATGTAGGATGGGAGAGAAAAGAGACAAATAGAAATAGGGCATATACCCTGGCACATAATGGTTAACTTATTTGGTTGGGTGTAACTATTTGGGGATAATGGTTGATGCCAGGAAGGAGTTAGAGAATTGGTGGTTAAGTAAGATCTTATTTTGCTTCTCTTCTTGTTGCTTTCTTACTTTTTCCGTAGAGTCCTGTAGCCATAGAGCTTTTAGAGATTCGTAGGTATTGGCATTTGAAGATTTTCGTATGTTTAGCTGTTGTATACGGTCGAAATAGATTTCAGCCTTCCTACGTTCGATCGAGTTCGAGTGTTAAGAAGTCGGAATGAGATTTTGAGAGTGAGCTCTGAGGTCGGTACTAACGAACCTCGAGCCCGAAGGTCGCTCGAGGAGGCGGCTCGATAATCCTATCGAGCCCGTGACCGAATCGATCCGCAAGGCACTGCTCCGAGGTCGGAAATGCGCGACACCCATCTCGAAGGTCGAACTCGATCCAAGACCGAAGGGCTCGACCCAGTAATGAGTTCGAGCTAGTATCGAGCTCACAGACAAGAGCCGTTGCAACCACACCAATAAAGAGAATCTTGGCGGGAATCAAGGAAGAGACAAGTCATCATGGGTCTTCCACTACATGTTTTATTTTATTATTTTTTGGTAACGACCCTCTTCTATAAAAGGGGGAATCCTTGTAAGCTAGAGAGGGTGGAACATAAAAAAGATCACTTCCTCTAGATATTGATAGGAATCCCTTTGCGCTTGTTTTACTTATTCATTCTTTTTGCTTATTATTTTCGTTCTTACAGTCAACAATACACATATTTCCATTTCTCTACGTGATTTATATCAAATTGTATCGCATATCCTTAGAACCATCCATAAATCTAACGTTATCCGATTTTTCCGGTAAACAGTTTGGCGCCCACCGTGGGGCTAAGGGTAACAATGATCGTTTGATATAAACCTAAAGTACACGACAGTTTGTAACTTCAAATCAGCAATGGCTTCATCTATCGACCATGAAGCCGGCCTTCAAGATAAAACCAACAACTTGGCACCCGGGGCCGGAAGGCCACTCGATGAAGGCATTGAGGCTCGAATCGAAGCACCCGAAATTCGAGCCGAAGTATCATTGGATGTCAATTCACAAATAGCTCTAGAGGCGAATCAGCGTTCCGAACCGGAAAGGAGCATTCATGGTGGTACTCGATCCGTAGCTCGAGACACCCATAACGTGGAGGAGATCGGAGTCAGCTTACGGATAATCTTCGAGATGTTACAAGCCCAGCAAATAGCGATAGCTCAGTTGCAGATCCAAACTCAGGTACAAAGCAGGCCGGAGTCCAATCCGCTTCGAGAAGTCACCCACAGAACGGAACCAGCCATAGAGAAGCCAAATGAGCAAGAATCGGGGACTACTCCCGAAATTACTAAATTGCTCGAGGAACTCACAAAACGAGTCGAAGCCAACGATAAAAAAGTAGAAACATATAATTCCAGGGTCGACCAGATCCCGGGGGCTCCACTAATGATAAAAGGGCTAGATTCGAAAAAATTCATTCAAAAGCCTTTTCCCTCGAGTGCAGTCCCAAAACCAATTCCCAAAAAACTCCGTATGCCCGAAATACCCAAATATAACGGAACGACCGACCCCAATGAGCACATCACTTCTTACACGTGTGCCATCAAGGGCAATGATTTGGAAGATGATGAGATCGAATCTGTATTATTAAAAAAATTCGGTGAAACCCTGTCAAAAGGGGCAATGATATGGTATTATAATTTACCATCTAACTCCATTGATTCTTTTGCTATGCTTGCAGATCACTTCATAAAAGCTCATGCCGGAGCCATAAAGGTCGAAACCAGAAAGTCGGACCTGTTCAAGGTAATGCAAAAGGATAACGAGATGCTAAGGGAGTTCGTAGCTCGTTTTCAAATGGAACGAATGGATCTGCCACCAGTCACAGCCGATTGGGTTGTTCAAGCTTTCACTCAAGGTCTGAATGAGCGGAGCTCGAGGGCTTCGCGGTGGCTGAAGCAAAATCTGATCGAGTACCCAGCTATTACTTGGACCGATGTGCACAATCGATATCAATCTAAAATAAGAGTCGAAGATGACCAGTTGACTTCTAGGACCATTACGAAAAATCAACCTCGTACACAGAGGGGCTTTATCATTGAACGCATCTGTGATGATTATCAAGTTCGGTGCAAAGGAAGTTACTTTGTTATTTCATGACAAACAGGATCGAGTTCGAATCATTCACTCGATTGCCAAGCCTACGGGCTACCTTTATTTGAGTTCGAGCAATCACTCACTAGACCATTAAGCCTACGGGCTATTTTAACTATTATGCCTACGGGCTACTTTAACTATTAGTTCGAATCATTCACTCGATTGCCAAGCCTACGGGCTACCTTTATTTCGAGTTCGA